CTTTGTGATTACATATTACATTAATTTTTCTACTTTTAAAGATTGCTTACTGAAAATGTTCATACATCTTCCGTACATGAAATCAAGGAAGGCATGAAGATAGCTAACATTAATAGAATCAGGTTATGCAAACCACAATTATTCAATAAAGAAGGAACATTTACTGAAATTGATATAGAACCAGAGATATTAAGCTTTTGAAATTTAGCTGATTTCTGTAGAGCTTGTCACACGAGCCTTATATAATTTCCTTTTCTGTTTGTATCTGAGAGGCATGGGAATCCAAGATATGGCGAGAGTCCCTGGTTAAACTGAGCTGTACATTTTGCATGCAGCCTGCCTTGACAGGTTTTTAAACCTACTTTACTTACGTTCTTTGCTAGTATTTTATTCTTCTGGACTGTCTTCATTAGTTGTCAGATTTCTAATCCTATTTTACACAAGCAGCTAGAGGCAATGTAGCAGAGAGCAGCAGCAAATTTAAGGCTAACAAGTCTATAGCATGAGGCCCACAGCAGCCCAGCTGCACATGAGTTTTTCTATCCTTCAGGGTGGGGCTATCTTTGGATTTACAGTGCTATTTTGTGCATTTTTCTTGAAAGACGCTGTTAAAAGCAGAAGAGGCTTGCTTGTTTGTGTGTTTTTTTAAGGAGGTGGACACTTACAAAGAGAAAAGTAAATCAATCAAAAGAATTGTCTTCCATACTTTAGCAATCATGACAAGCATACCTAGGTCTTAATCAAAATCCTAATGTTTCTATTTTATAATAAATTAATTTGGTTTCTTCAGTACTTGAGATCCTTTTGTACAATATACAATGCAAAATCTTCTGCACTGCCATTCCAAATATTTTTATATAAATTACAAAAATTACTCTGAGTCAGCTGCCCCTAAAAACTTCCAGCCATGTCCTGAGTGTTTATTAAAATATTTCATCCTATTGAATTTGTGAGCGAACTATAAATTCTCCTCTTGGCAGGCTGTCTGACCTACCTCATTCTCATCCATTTCAAAAATATTCACCCTAGGCAGAATGTTCACAGGGATTTAATGGCTGTCTCAGAAAATACTGTACTTGGAGGTGGCATCCTTTGGAATGACCTATGAAAAATGTCAGCGTCTATTACAGGCCACCTACCGTATTTGAAAGATACTTCCCCTAGTTTGTCTAAACTGCTTTGTATAGAAGTTTCATGCTGCTATTTTCCATCATCATGATCATCTAAGTTTTAAAAAGTTGTTGACAAATGTAAGAAGTATTAATTCAATTCAGCCAGTCTTGGACACCAAAATAGTTTATATTTTCAAATGAAAATTCTATTTGCAACTGAAAATCCTTCTCCACAGGAGCCTTTCACTGCATCTGATATTCTGATATTCAAGGAGCTTTTTAAATGTATGAATATAGGTTAGTCTTTTTTTACTTTAATACTTGTCATCTCTTTTAGAAGTATTAAAAAGGATGTCAGTTATATTGCTGATTTTTAACACAATAACAACTCTCTAATGAAATCTAACCTGAAATTCTGTTTAGGTTCTGTAAGGCAGATCTACTCTAATTTTGGATGTGAGGCTGGATTATGTTCTAATATCAACACTGGTTGAAAGTGCTGTGTGCTAATGCTAAAGTTAATGCAGCTTTGCTAACAAAGAGAGATTTAAAAAGTCAGCAGAAGTATGCCCAGAGCACAATCAGATAAATTCCAAGTTATGCCCCATATCCTACAGCTTGTACTACCTTACATTTTGTCCTTTTATAAATAGCAGCTCTTTAACTTTAGTTGCTAATAACCTGAACTATGCTTGATACAGTAGCTTGCAGTTCTGTATCCTATGACCTCTGCTTTGCACTAAGCCAGCCACCTCAAGGCAAAGAACTTGCAGGATGTCAGTCCTGGTTACTTGCTTCAGTCATGTCAAGATGTTTCATAGGGCTGAAAGTTCGAGAAGTGTACAATAAATTAATATCTTCTAAGGTTCTCTTTTACAGAACTTCTCTTTCATGGGAACCATAACAAGTTCAGGTGAACAAGTCAGTCTGCTTGTATTTTTGTGCTGCAATCTGCAGCAGCAACTGTTTCTGTTCACTTATTAGGACACTTCAGGGTTGGTGTTCTATGAATCAGGCTGTAGATGACGAACAGTGCACATGTAGCCTTGCCTAGATAGCAAGCTAACATCTTCCTTGCAAGCCACTCAGTGCACTGGGATACCCAAAGCACTGACAAGAACAAAATAATGTGAGGAAGTAACAAAATGCTGTCGGCTGCAAAGTCATGATTTAAAGATTACAGAAGGGAACTAACTCATCTATCCTTCGAGTTGCACCAAGGATTAATGTGGGCCAGTACATGCATTTCTGAAGGAATGAGTCTTAAATTATTGGAAATTTATTTCCCCCATTATTTCCAAACAGGTAGTAGGACAAGTTTGCACTATTTTAGACAGCTCCTCATTCTTTTTTTGAAACCTCTGTGCAAAATGAACAGAGCAATTTAAGGTAAATAAATCTGAAGTTATGTGGGAAGAGTGTTAAAATACATGTGAAAACTTAAGAAGAACATGTCCTAGAGCCAGAATCTTTCCTGCTCATCTAAAAGGAATTTCTTCCTCCCCTTTTGGCAGAAAGCTGCTACCTACAAGAACAAATATATAGGTGATACAACTTCCTGGTGTTCTAAAATACATTTCTATAGCATTATTAATTCAATTATGTAGTATTTGATACAATAATACTGAGATATTTTAACATTTCTTCACAGATTAACATAGAAAGTTCTAGTATTTGGGCCTTGTTCTTGAAGCATATTTTATCTATATTGTATTGGAATATTTTTGTAGGAAGGTTTCTTTAATTAAGGTATCTAATTCTGAAAGAAGAACCCACAGGAATTATTAAAATATTAAATTGAAAATCATAAAGAAGTGAATAGAATATTTTATATCTACACCATGAGTAAAAACTTCAAACATCTGTATTACTTAGCTAAATCTCATTGGAGGCACATTGGGATTTGGTTCTGCAAATGCTTACATGCCTTTGACAATCAGACACAGAAGGGTACAGACACAGTGGCCTGCAGGGCAAACTTTGCTACTGTCACAGCTTCTCCATTGCTCCACGCTGGGAAAGGCAGCAGAAGTCAGCAGAAAGGCTACAGATAACTGTGCTGAGTAAACTGCAGATAATCCTGTGATTGCAGGCAGAATGAACAGGAGCCCCAAATCTGCTTCTTATGTTTTGGTTGAATATACAACAGAGGCTGACATACATGTGCAGGTTTCACAGCACATAAAGATCATAATTGACATTGCTGCAATTTCAAACCTTCAGTAGACTTCAGAGAAGACTTGAATTTAAAATACCTCTAAGAACAGAAAGAAATGGAGGATGCAAGAGACAATAATAATAATACATATTTACTCAAGCCAGACATATGCACAGTTAGGTTTGTTTGTTTTTTCAAACAAAAGTTGCAAAAATGTAAGTTGCTACCTGAGCTCTTATTTACATTTACTATAATTTCAATGTTGCTACCTTCACATAGTGAAGGAAGCAGTGTGCCATACAGTTCACCAAAGAAAGGATATTTTTGGATAACTGCAAGGCTTCAATTTCTGAAGGAATACTCTGAAAAGTGTTAAGTCTGTGATAATATAAAAATAATTTTCACAAGAATATAATTTATTAATGACTGGTATGGAATTCTAGCTAAATGGCAGTCAACTCTCCTTGCACTTAACTGTTTAATTCCTAAACAAATGGAGATCTTGATAATCTTATAAAAGGGAGCCCCAAATCTGACAAATATGACCAAGAAGAAACCTGAAAAGGCTACCTTTATCTTCCATGGAGATGTTGTTTCATGACAGAACTGGTCAGAATGAAAAGTCAGTAAAGAAACGTATGGAACGTTGTTGACTGCCAGGTTATATAACAGGTCCTATAGGGGGTCATATCATCAAAGGCATCATTCTTTCCCCATTGCTTTATTTTAAGGAGTAAAATTATCATTTTTTTAGTGAGCTAATATTACTAGGTGGTAGCTTTTTAGGTAAAGCTGCTGGAAAATTTTCAAGTAGAGGAGTTTGCATTTTGAAAATACATTTTCACAGAAACAAAGTATTTCATAGAAATGTTAACACCAGTACAATACTTTGAAGGAAATAGAGGTACTCAAAGCAATACTCCATGTTTTGCTATGATACTTCTAAAAGTTTCATTCAAAAAGTATAAAATACTGTAATTTATATTTCTATTTTTAAGAGTTGCATTACATTAACATATGTTAATATTAGTATGTTGAAAAAGAGAAATGAATTAACCAACAAGATGTAATTCAAGGAAGATTTTTTTTCTCCTTACATCAGATAGTAATGATAAATGACATTCTATCCCTGTGTGGAAGTGCAAGAATCAGTGGCTGTAACCAGATCTCTGCACCCCTCTGTTTGAATATGACATTTATTGTCAGAAGTGAGAGAGTATTTGGAAGGAGCTGGTCTAGATAGCCTACCAAACAGACAAAAGGACTTTTTTTTTTTTTTAATGTAGAGAGAAAGACTTAGTCCATAATCACTTTTAGGTAAGATATGATTCACACACTTATGAGGAGTACTTGGTTGACTGTACTACTTGGTAAAGATATTTTGCTGTATCATAGCATGTTAGAGGTCAAACACTCTTTGAAGTTGTCCACAATGCATGTTCAGCAGGAATTATCCCTTTTGACAAAATACTAGGTGTAACTTTTTGTTTCCAAAACATAATTTGGCCTTTTTATTCCAGGAAGAGTATGTACTTAATGTGCATATGGTGGGCATATTGCTGTTTCTATGAATACCTTTGAATTACTAAAATGATGGTCATCAGTTAATTTTTTTTCTTCATAAGGAATGTGTCAATTATAACATTCTTTAAAATGAGTATTTAATTTGACTAATTGACAGCTGGATATACTAATTGTGATTTGATCTGGGTTTTGTTTTGTCTCTAAAGGAACCAAGACCTCAATAACCTCAGCAAAGGAAATCGAACTTCTTTCACAAGCGACAAGGAGTAAGTTCTAAGGCAGTGAGTAGTTTGCAACTATGAGAATATCAGGAAAGGTAATATTGCTAACCTGTCAAAAGTTTATAGATTAATAAATAGCATTCCTTATACAGAAAGATGAATGTAAAAATACAGATTAATTCACTGGCATCTGCACTGTCAGTTGAACAAGTACTACCTATGGCAAGCTTCCATACATGCCTTATATGCTTCCACAATTAAACTATCACTAAAATATTTTTATATGGTTAGAGAAGGGGCAGCAAACAAACTATTGTAGAACTCATGGATGGTAAGTGTTGCCTGGCAAGGTGTAACAAAGCATTTCAATCGGCAAGGGAAGTGATCCATAGGGAACAGCTTGAACTTTCTTTTTTGAACAGTGTGTCAGTGCAATCAGTTTCAAGCCAAGATTCTGGAGGTCTGCAAGCAGCCCTTCAGCACAGAGAAAGGGAGGAACTGGTGGGTGCTAGTGAGAGCTGTGTATTATTTTTCACACTAAGCACTGATACTCTATAGATAACTTTCAAGAACCATATTCTAAACAGTAACAGCAGATAAATGTTGCCAACATGTGATCATTTATTTTACAGTAGACAATCTTATATATATGCACACATATGCATATATACAGATATACATTTAGCACTAATCTCTAAGTTCGGTATCTTTTTTTTTTAAAGTTAATTCACAGAGAATTTATTAGGATAGAGTCCAAGGCTTTGAGACACTACTGAATTTTAGGAGCATCCAAAGTTTTAAGCCTATCATGGATTGAAGAGACCAAATTAGGAGTTTCACAGAGCTAATCTGGCCTTTTGTTTTGCTCACTACTTCTACCCAAAGAGAACCATGGGGTTTTTCTTACAGTATTTTTCATAAGTCATTCCATTCTCTAATTCATTGAACCATTTTAAAATAGTAAAGGAAATAGAAGAAAATCTAGCCTATTTATGAAATCAAAGAAAATGTTTCCTTATGTGTAAAATATGTAAGTATTCAGATACTAACATTTTCAATAAATACAGACATGATCAGTGCTTTAATTGTTAAACACGATGGCACACACAGGTAATTTCTTGTCATTCCAGAAGCAAAATTTTGGAAATTTGGCCATATATTTAGGTGTTATTCTCAGAAGCTGAAGTTTCTTAGTTTAAATTAAATTTCGTTTTTGCAAATAAATGATGCAAACATGGATTAAGCTGCTTTGAATCTGTAAATTAATTCTAAATTCTTTGAAAGTTCATGTTTCTTCTTCACTGACTTCACTGGCAAAAAACAATCTTAAACTAAGGTATTAATACAATTTTAAAAAACATTTTATTTTCTTGGATGTACTAGATAATAATTTTTATAAATAAACAAACAGTGCAGAACTTCACCTTGCTAGGGGAAAATTACAAACATATTTTCTTCAAGAATATAATTTTTCGCAAATTTTGAGCATAAAATTAACTTAAAATTTACTTTTTTTCTTTTAAATGTGTGCATAAATATATTTATTTCTTTTATGACATTTAATCCCTTCCTAGACAGGGGGAATATCTTAACAGTGCTATTCTTTTTTTTTTCAGAGGAAAAGACCTTTCTGATTTGACTGAAAAACATACTGCTGATCAGAAAAATAAGAGGCAAGCCTGTCATAATCTGCACCTTATATACTTATAAAATATTTATGGTTGATTGGATATTGGTATTAATAGGTTATATTCAGTAAAAATAATTAGATTTTTATTTGTTTTCAAATGAGGATGACAGTGACCTTTTTTCAAACTTACACAATGTGTCAATGGGTGATATTTTTTATTATGGAGCATTTAATATACAATATTAATGTACAACTGTATTTTATATACCTGACACGTCAATACATTAAATTTATTATATTAAATCAGCTTTTTCACAATTAATGATTGATGAGGCATAAATGTGACCACATAGACCTCGAGATTGTACACAACCCTAGATAACAGCAGTTGGAAGAGAGATTTGGGCTGGATATGGTAACAAAGCAAGGGACATACTTTGGCAGCCATTTCCATAGCTCATGGTACTGATGTCTGAACTGAATGAAAGTCTGCTATCAAACTAAAATGACAGAGCCACAGTCAGTTTGGAAGATGTAGGCAGGACCTTCACCTGAAGCATGGCACCATGATGTGAGACATAAATTGGAACACAAGACATTCTGCCTGGCTGTATGGATGGCTGTCCAGCAGTGGAGCAACTTGCTTGGAGAGGTTCAAGGTTCAAGGTTCTCTCCTTGAATATTTTCAAGACCCAACTGCTCAAATACTTGAGCAGCCTGGTCTGGCCTCAGTGCTGCCTCTGCTTTGAGCAGAAGGTTGGACCAGAGAGGTCCTGACGTCCCTGAATTTCAGCCTGAATTATCCTACAATACTATAATGAATTTGATATTTTTGAGTAATTTTTAATTCTTCTGCAGTGCCACATTGGAAAGAAACTGAAAAATATTGAAGCCTGAACAGATAACTTAGTCATTGTAGTCAGAAAGTTTACCTGGGAAATGCATACAGTTTTTTTTTTATTCTTCAACATAATTTAGTCCATTTAATATGTTTAGATTAAATAAAATACTTCTATTAATTCTGAAGCCTTTTTCACTTTCAGAGATGAGGACCTTGGGGATCATACTGAAGCAAAGTCTGCCGGTGACCAAAGTAAAAAGTGGTGAGAATCAATTCATAGTTCTCTCTAAAGTTTAATGATCAAATAGCAAGATTTGTAGCTGTTTAGTAGAGCCAGAAAATATTAATTCCTAATACAAGCAAACAGAATTTCCCTGTGTAAGATATCTGTATTATTTCTAAAATGTGCCTGATTAACCAAATATAACCATAAAACTGCATGTATTTTGATAAGAAATGACTCAAACCTATAATTTCTCATGGAGAATGAAAATGACTAGTGACAAAATCCTCCTAAGTATTTTTGTGCTTATCTAAATGTTCTGTGAATTCAGCTGCTGGCATCTTGAACAAATATAGTGAAATGTATTCCTAGTATAAGAGCTTTACTGCTACTAGATTTCATTATTTACGAAAGCTAGGATCCATTTAGGTCAATGAAAGTGAGGTTAGTAGTATGCTTTAGGTATCATTCTGATGTTGTCTTTTTTGAGTCTTCCATTTAGTTATATACCCACATGACGAGGAAGAATGTAGTTATCTGTATATATAGGCAGTTTTGCTATTTTTAAATAAAAAATATTTTTATCTCATCAGTTCCACTTGACAGTCTGACCAAGGAAGGATATACTGAGCGTCTCCAGTGAATGAGTTCCTCTTTCAGTTCTGACAGGGGCTTGCCCCATCATGAATCAGGCACAAAGAACGTGCTGCTTCTTGCAGCACCACTCTGCATATAAAGCACAACAAGCACTGAGTGAGGGTCCTTGTCAAGCTCACTGAAATAATCAAGTTGCAGCCCACACATTCAGAGTTGAGGAAAATAATGATCACGTTGTTCCAGAATATAACCTTTGGCAGAACCAAACAAGAGCAGCTTTTGTCTGAGCTGCTTTGTAAAATCATCAAAAACATTATTAGCACTTATTCCCGAAATCCCATAATTTATATGACAAGGTCTATTTTTGTTTGTTTTCCTGTCGTGTTTTGTGGCAGGAAAAACTGGAGGAAGAGGTTTCTCTTGCTTGAATCATCCTCCTGTTTCTTGAAATGCGTCTACGTAACTGTTTAGTTGGTAACTTCTTATAAAAACAAAACTGTAGTATATCCAGAAAATTTGGAAGTAAAATACTTAATACTTACTAAAATACAGTAAGCCTAAGAATACAAAATTATGGAATACTGACAAGAAAATGTGGAATGCTATTAACAACTGAGACATTATTGCAAAGCTGAAAACCCCAGTGGGCACTTTGAGGAAACTAGAGCTCAATTAAAGTTAGATGAAGTTTCCACTATGAATATATATGAATATATCAGCATAAACAGGAGGACTAAAAATTATAGGTCAGTGACTGCATTATTTTGCACCAGCAACAATTTAACCAAAATAAAGTGAATTCTTTCATCTGCTTTTTCTAGTCCAAGCTCCTGAATTCATGACTGCAAGTGTAAATTAACACTGTGTAGCTGAAAAAGATTTCTAAAAAGTATTTATTTTCTTGTCATGTGGTTTCTTTTTTATTTTAGGATAATTGAGAAAGCATGTGAAAATCCTCCAAGGGCTCCAAACAATCTCCCAGAAACAAACTACTCTAGTGACAGTGAAAGAAAGACCAGGTACTGTGGAAAATTATTTGGGTACTGTAATGTCTAAAGTGCCATTTCTCGAAAAAAATTCATATAAAGCTTTTTTATGCAAGAAATTTCAGGAATGCTTAGAAAGCTCCCATTAGTCTCTGGAGTCATGTCAGCCCCTTTCCAAATCTGCTTCCAGGATCCCAGGCACAGAAGGTCACAAATCCTAACTGTTGTGCACAGAGGAGCACAAGGCACACCCTGTGTAGCCCTAGAGATATAGCTGAAACATAAAATTTAGGAGGGCAGCTAAGCAGAATTCTTATCTAATCAATAGAGGAAAGGCATTTCCTGAATGCTCTTATGAACTTGTTTCTTTACGAGACTGTAAGGAAAACATTATACTCTTCACTTAAAGTGGCTTTTTAACTTCCTAAACCTCTATGGGGGGTGAATCTGAACCCATGTATCATCCACCCAATCACTGACACTGTGGCATGGGATTCTGACTTTTTGACCAAGAACAAACTATTTTAAAAAACATTTCTCTTGCAATACTCATGCTCTAGATGGAGTCTGCCTCTACAAACCCACATATTGAAAACCTGAGTGAAAAATGTAATGTAGGGGTATTTATGAGAACTAGCTGTACTAGTACAGGTCTATTGGTATCAGGAAATAATTGAAATAAAAGTAAATGTTATCTTGCTCTTCATGGTCAAAATTACTTTCACAAAATATGACCAAAAAAAGTATAATAAATAGTTCTTGAATGAAGGCCTTTTTTGATTAAGAAAACCTCTCCTCAGTATCAATCCACTCATCTATACGGATTAATTATTTATGTAGGAAGGCTTATTTGAAGGCATAACCTATATGTTGCATTGCTGTATAATAGTTGTGAACTGCCTGAGTCAGGGCTGATGACTCAGCAGGGAGAGGAAAATTCTACTGAGCCTTACTGACAGGAAAGTAAAGGTCACACTCTGGTATTTTATAGAAATTATGGTCAATGTCCCCATCCTTAACCTTACGCTTACCCGATCCTTACTGTGAATATGAATGGGCACAGGATCTTTAATCCCTCATATTCTTACACTTGCTGTTGTAGTGTTGCAGAAAATATTCAACAGAAAATTTAATTAGCATTTTTCAGAATTTTGTGCACATACAGGCTCTGAATTGTAATGTTCTGATTATCTTTGAGAATTAAAATAGAGAACAGTAATAGAAGAAGGACAGGGCAAAGAATGTGCTGCAATATGTAATGTTACCTTATACTTGATAGACTTTATACCCTCTACTTGAAGCTTGAATCCCATTTAAATTAAATGAATGGTCTTTGTAGATTATTCTTTCAGGTTTTATGCAATAGGTTCTACAGAGTATTTATTGTTGAGTAGTTTGCTGTATGAACAAGTCACACCATAGCAAGTAAAGGAGTGACTGATAGGAACTGAAAGAAGGGATGTGATCAGGTGCACTGCTCTCAGGCTACACTGGGACTCACTTTTCACTTGGTGTCTCGTCAAGCTGTCAGATTATGCATTTATTTAAATGTTCTGAGTTTCCTTACACTTTCAGTTGACAAGGTTAGAAACTGATGCTTTGGAAATATTTTTGCTGTTCCTTCAGCATTTTTTTGTTTTATATGCTCCAGTTGTGATTTTCTACCTAAGTTGTGGTTATATATATTTTTGTGCATTTCAACCACAATACTCCAGTCAGTTAGTAAAAGCCAAGGGATGCTGTTCTCTACACTAGCACACTTGAGGGAAGTATTTTTCTCTATACAACTTCCCATAAAATAATGTTACTTTCAGGCATGCAGCATGTAAGTACCCATATTATGTTGAATGTGCAATGTACAGTAGACTCTTTGCCCGAGATTCTGTAGTTAAGTACAATGTTAAATGAAAGATTTGGGAAAAATGAGCTTAACAACAAAAAGAAGAAGCACAAGGTCATACTATACAGGAACAGGGAAATTACATTCCTTTGCCACTTTTCACTGTAGCAAGAAAATTTAGAATGCAATTGCACTACCAATATGCTCCCGCCTGTGACTAGTGTTGTGCTCATTCTTGGTCAAGAGAATTTCTCAGCTAGAGAAACTCTTTTAAAAGGTGATCACTTAGCTTTAGTTTGCATTCCTACTTAGTAAGCTTACTTTCATCTCATTTGAAATGTAAATGGAGCACTGGGTGTTCATTTGAAGAGATATTTCCTCTGTGGTAAGCAAACCCAGGTTTCTTATATTCTGATTAAATAACAAGCCCATTGTTATGTTCTATGAAATATAAATAAAACATTTATAATTTCAGCTTATCAATAACTGTGCAATTTAAATAAATTTCTGGTGTTGCACAGAAATCAGATAAGACATACGTACTTTAAAAAATACAGGTATGTAGAAAAGAATATCTAAGCTTCATAACACCTTACACACACACGTTTTCCATCTCTTGTATTTCCCAGAAAAAAACCAGCGTTTGGTAAATACACATAACTATAAACAATCGCTCCTAACGTTGCAGAACATTACTTAAGAGTGATACAAAAAATGTATAATTACTATATACGTTCAGAATTTCTGGAATAGGATAGGATGAACAAATCAGTTCAGAAATCTTCAAAACATGTATGGCAAGATTACTTCTTCAACGGTTACATACATGTTCATCCCTCCCATGGAAACAAAACTGACATTTAAGTAACTTGGCAATGAGACTATTAAAAATGGAAGCTTTAACTTCCCTGATAATTAAATTCAGTATATGCCTTTCTACTATGATGTAAGGAACAATACGGTTACTGTAGTGAACACAAATCAAACACTGAAAAGCCTGCATTATAAAGACTCTCACTTCAATTCTAGGGACATGTTGTAATTTTGTTTGGCTGCTTGACAGCTTTTTGAGGACAAGTGAAAGAAGCAGAGGAAAATAAAAAAATGTAGTCTGTCACCATTTTCTGATATGTATCATTTAGGCTAAAATATCAGCACAGAAAACCAAATACCCTTATGAAAAATTTTGTTCAATGGGCTTGTGGATTTAATTTTGAAATGCTGAAGAATCATTCAAAAATAGACCAGTATAAGTACACTATATTACAAATATTACTATATTTCTAATTTACACTTATTTGATATCTTATTTTTGATGGTTGTGAAAAAACAGGAAAAGAACTCATCACCAAGTACAATTTTTTTACAAGCCTGTTGTCTTAGTTTATATTGCATATTATCATCAATGTAGTGAAACCTTTAGAAAATGTAGCGAAACCTTTAGAAAATGTAGCACTGTTTAGTGATAGCTACGTGCTCTCTGCTTCACAGCAAATCATCACTTGGTGCCTATGAAGAAAATACAACTGGAAATACTATCAAAACTGTTTATTCCACTTCTGATCGGTAAGTACACATTAATAACATCGTAGTGTCCCAAAAGACACAGATATTTACATAAGCATTCAAGTCTTCAGACAAAAGAGAGCAGTGGAAGTCACTATCATGAGACAGCTTTTCATACAAAGCTCTCTTTCAGTGAGATCTTGCCATCATTACCACAGTTCAGCACCCTAATATTATGTTAGGCTTGTCACAGTTGACATTTAAAATATCCATAGAAACAAGAGCCAATGCCGTAAGTGACAGAGTTTGCTTTGTGATTCTGTAGGTTTCTATCTCAGGCAGCCGCTCACTCTGCAAAATTTCCTTCCTTTACGAGAACAGTAATGACCAAATTTATATACAAGTGTGGAGGAACAGGTTCACATGAAAGTGCTGTTGAACACTATCTTTTCCCACCTGTAAGACATTCCCAAATATAAGCAGGATATTTGCTCAATCTGTAATAACTTACCTCATGGGGAAAAAGAAAAAACTCTTTTCAGTTCAATTTGGACAACCCCTACTGCCTGGGAATACCTTATCAGAAAAACTTGTATCCCTTCCAGCATAAGGATAAAGAACTCTGGGGATGATTAAATATTAGTACAGCAGTTGGTCACTGACAGGAAAGGAGCAAGAGCCATTGATTTTGTAATGCTAAAACACCACCAACTGTTGTATCCAGACAAAGTAGAGAGTGATGTCACATAGGAGTGCAACAATAGCTGAGAAATTTTGAAAAATATCATTGTCTCGAATACCTTGTAGGCTGTTCTACACATGGACTCTCTATAATTGCCATGAAGGTATGAGTTCTGTCTGCAGTGCATAAAGTCAAAAAAGTTTTCAAGCACTTCTGCATCACAGAGAATTCTGTGAACCAGACTGATCAAGTTATGGCAGTTTGAATTCAAATACCAGTTTACTTTTGTGATTAGAACATTAAAATCATTCCCCTCCACTTTATCCGTATTTAGTATACATGTTCCCAGATATTCAGCACCTTAATTCAGTTCACGAGAGAATAGCATTCTTCCTACCAAGGTATTTTTGCTACTTGACAATTACGCTCAGCAATTTGTCCATCGCAGGAGCATGTGTATGACACCTGTCAACTGGAATGGAGAGAATACACAAATGACATTTTTCCATTAATGGCCATTGTAACAGTGTACAAATGTCTTTCCCATGCAGTGTGCTAACCTTATCAATTTTCTGCTTGAGATTTCAATGGCAGCTCTTTTTCTGACAGCTGATGTTATATTATATACACAGGAGTATAATTGGAAAAGATATATGTACATACTGCAGGAAGCCCTTGGGCATAGATGCCAAAATGATCTTAGATGCCTTGCAAATTTACTGTCATTCGACTTGCTTCAAGGTAAGATTTCACCTGCTACCAAGAAATAGAATTTGACTGCAATACCTGCTTTATAGTACACATATAATAAGAGATTATTTAGGCCTAAGGCCTTCTCCACCTGTGAGAATAAGAAGTCTTGAGACTGGAGGAGAAGATTAATGTAGGAAATACTAATCTCTCTGTTTCCCTCTCTTCCCTACACAATCCCTTTCTTTTTCTTTCTATCTCCTCTCTCCTTCTCCCTCTACTCTGCTTCTCCTTCTCCTTCTCCTTCCCCCTCCTCCCTTGCAATCATAAGCAGGACAAAGGATGTAACTGAATGTATTCTTCGAGTCTAACACATTCATAAGCCTTCACTTCAAGTCTGATACAGTGAATTATATCAACTTACACTTTCTTCACGTTGTAAAATTTTATTCAGTTTTTATGAGGTTTTGTAGATGTTCTTGAATGATGTCTGAAACAGTCCTAATTATTAAAAAGTAGGTTATTTTTTCCTATTTCCATTAAGAATGAAAGCACAGAAGAAATTTCTTTTTTGTTTGTAATTCCAAACCCTAAGTCACAGTCTAAAATTCGCTCTTAAACTTTTCTCAGGGTATGCCTGGCAGTGCTCAGTCCCATAGTCTGTTTTCTTCCTGCCTTGTCTTATTTCTGCTAACATCTACACACAGGGGTTGTTGTTCTAACAAACAATACTCAGCAAAATCACTGCATTAGCACAGCTCACATTACTGCCCAGTCCTGCATAGCTTTTACTACTGCTTCTAACAGCAGTTCTTGTCCCTGTTTGCTGCATGAAGAGTATCATAAATCAGAATACAGCAGTAAGGTTGCACTTCACATGTATGAAGCTGCATGTGCTTTTTGTTTACTGTGGACTTTCTGAGCTCTGTGAGCACCAGAAAGGCATTTTCTTCCATGGGAACTACTATGTAATATGCCTTCAATACTATTACTGCAAGTAAATATAAGTTCTGGTCTGCTTTCATTCTTTTTAGACAGATCAACCCACATAAAGAATGGTCTTTTCATTAGGAGTATTAACATATTGGTAGTGGCTGAATTATCTGTTAAATATTTGTGCTCATTTTTTTAAACTATATTTTTTTGTTACCTACTGTCAACTGGGGACCTGTCTGGCTAGGAACATTCAGCTTAATTGGCAAGAAGTGTAAACAATTGATGTAGATCTGTGGTTCATGCTTTTAGTTATGTATTTAGCTAAGTAGTGCAATTTCTCATAATCAGTATTCATTTAGCTCCTTACAAATACCCTGTATCCATTAAAGATTTGCACATAGCTGACAGCAGTACAACATCTTCATTTCCTTGTAAAAGTATATACCAAAAGTACAGTAATTCAATAACTCAAATTTTAGATTTTTTTTCTCTGTGTAAAAATTCTAGCTAATATTGGTGATCAGAGCTTTAAAGACATGGCCACCCTTTTGCTGATTTAAACAAAGAAATATAAAATCAGTGAAGACAGCAGATTGTTTTAATAACACCTTAATACTAATGCTGTTTTTCACTTATCAGTAGATAAAATATCCAAAGAAAACAGAATTTACTATTCTTTTATTATATTTAAATAAATAAATAAAATTATCTGGGTATCAAGATTCTAGTTTCTGTATCAAATTACCATGCCCCTTGATCCACTGTAGGTTTTCCTTGTAGTCTTGGTAAGTCAGCCTTTGTGTGTGTCTGTCCATTTTCATATGTTAAACATGGGCAATGCTTCTCCATCCCAAAAAATTAGCTTTTTTGAGACATTTGTGAAAGCAAGCTCCAGATTCTGCAAGAATGGAGACATAGTTAGCTGTTAAGATAAAGTGTCATATTTTGAAATAAACAGGTCTAGATTCTTTAAGATCTACTCTGAGTAGGATGATTATGTGTGATCATTCTTCCTTTATTTAGTGAAGAAAGAAAAGGATCTCAAAACGGTGATTCATCTTATTTTAGGATAAACCCCGAAGCTAAGACAAAGAAAATAAAAGTACCCTTTGGAAATGTCTGGGGAAGGATAGGGTTGTTGAGTATAATGAGTACCTAGGCAACCAGTTAAGACACTAACATCTGATTTTTAGATGTTTAAAGGTGAGACAGTCAGATAGACTTCTAACTTCCTGTTGCCTAAAACTATTCTTCTGGAGTTCAGTTTTTATGTTGCAGTACTCATAACTGCTATTCTGGTCTGGGATTGCTTGTTTCCTAAAAGAAAGCATGCTGGTAAGAGTATTAGAGAAATGTTTCATTTTAATTTTTCTTCCGTCTTTGACTCATGTGTTCAAGTGTGAAGTATGTAAAAGACCCCTGGAAGATCTAAAAGCAGGAGACAGCATTTGGATTTACAAACAAACTGTGCATTGCGAGCCTTGCTATTCCAAAGTTAAAGGTAAGGCACAAGACATATAACACTGCACGTGGGAAACAACATTTAGCGAACTTCGTTCAAAAGACTTCAATATATGACAGCATAGCTGTTGCTTTTGCTCGTTTGGGTGTACTTAAACCTCAAAGCATCTACTTCAGTAAGTCTGGGTGCTTAGGATGATATCCAACCCCAGCTTCTAAACACAATTATTCTGTATCTGTGAGGGAGATTTTGGTTGCACTGCAAGTTCATCTCTCCAGGTCTCTCTGTAGAGTTGTACCTGTGCAATCAATAGAAACATCTAGAGGGAGGCAATGGCACCTTGCCCTGGAAGTGAGAATAAATTGCAAGGCCATCTGAGAATTAAATTGTTCTACTGAAACAAATAAGTCAGGGTGCAGAGGTATTTTCGTGTAGTGGAGTAATTGTGACCAGTACAGAGAAGATCCAAAATCTATGAAATCATAATGAAAATATTAGACTGTGCTTATGATTCTTACCTTTGTGAGGACCAAAGTGAGTAAAAAAATATGCGAGGCAGGGACAAATGAACATTTTATTAGTTTTTCCAGGAGTTGCTAGATTTTAAGTGTTCTTTCTTCATGGCAATTTTCGCAATAATATAAATCAGTACTTCTGTACCAAATTAAGACAAACAGAGATGTAGATTAAATACTCTGATAAGCTGGTTTTCAACTATGTAATTCTGAGATAAGATCATGTTAACTAAAATTATATTAAAAATCTGTTTTCTTAAAATACTTTTGTTATTAATTCATTGCAAAATCTGACGGGACTGGGGGATTTTTGCCAATAATCCAATTAGAAAATTAATAAAGCATAGAAACAGTTATAAAACTGTAGAAAAACATACCAATGGCCTCCATATGAAGCACAAAAGATTTTCCTATTTCATCAAGTTACAAGATAGACAGTTAGACTTCAGTAGACATTCTGAAGAAGAAAAAAAATCTGAAATTTCCTTGTAGGACGTTTAGAGTATATTGCTTTGCTTGGCATCTCTGACCAATCTTTTTTCTCTTGCAGAAAAATGGATCTACTAATTTTGGCATACAGAACATATGATGAAGTTACTATTGTTTAGTTAACTGTACTGGCCTGTTAATTCACTGTGGGATATTATATTTTTACTGCTGGGAATTTTCTGAATTACATCCTACTGCATGGTCATCAAAGGAATTAATTTAACGAGATTTTAGATGCATTTTCATACACATTGCAGGAAGCAAAACAAGATATTGGTCAGTGTATTTAC